TGTGTCCATCTGGGCCCAGCCTAGGAGCCCATAATCCTGGCAATTTTCTGGATGTTCTTTCTTTGCTCCCACTGCCATTGCTTTTCCCATGGCCACTCCTTGTTCCTGTCTAAATTGTCCCTCCTTGGCACTGTCCCAGAGCAGAAGGTCCTCTGTAGGACCTCAAACTGCAAGGCAACCCCTGCCCTGACTGTCCTTCTCCTCTGTTCTTCATGGGAAAGGAGGCCTGGCTGGATTGGGGCTGCTTACAGTTTGTGACAAGTCAAAATGTCACAGGATGGGAACGAGTTTAAGTCAATGCCTTAAAGTGAGTTGCCACAGGGAGGGAGAAGATGTGGGCTGGGTGGGGGCTGAGTTAAGCCTCTGCATTTGCTGTGGGGGCAGTTGAACTAGTCCATGAGATCAGAGCTCCTTCCACTGGTGCCTGTGCCTCTCTACCCCTCCCTGAGACTGAGCAGAGCCATCTCACCTGGACCACGACGAATATTGCCTGCACGATGGGGTAGATGATTTTGATCGCGGACAGGCAGCTGTAGAAGCTTGAGTAATATCCTATTTTGAACACATCCATGACAAGGCTGAAAATGGCAAATAGAATCAGGCCTCCTGTTGAAGGAACAAAAATATCTGTGGTTGGACAGATGTGTGAACACATGGGCTAATGCAGGTAGATGAGAGGAAGTAGAGGAACTGCTGTCATGGAGAGCTTTTGCTTCTATCACTGTTTATCCTTCCCCAGCACCCAAATTATCATGGTGCCAACAGAATTGTACAAAAATGTTGGCTGGAATGGATTTTCAATCAACCCTGTACTCTGGGGTTAACAGCTCTGACAAAAGCTGAGAGGGATCCTGGGCTGGGAAGGATCCTGGTGTAAAGTCCCAAGAGCCCTTGCAGATACAGGGAGACCTGGCAGTGAATCCAGTGCAGGGAGCAGGAGCTGACCTGAAGCAGGGCATGGTGCCATGCCCCAGAGCAGGAGGGGACTGTGCCCACGTGGTTGCTGCTTCCATTATAATAATTGTTGTTCCCATGACCTCTCCACCCTGTACCTCCCCTCCAACCCCAGCCCCCGAGAGCTCCTACCTCTCAGCCAGATGGGCCCAGCGTGGGAGTCCTTGCAGAGGATGGCACCTGGGCACCGGGAGGTGCCGGCGAGGTAGAAGATGATCCATATGATGACTATCAGCATCATGACAGTCAGCAGGAAGAAGACGTCGTAGTCGTGCACGGCGATCTTCTCGAAGGCCCCGCTGCTCACCAGCGTGCAGGCCAGCAGGGCCAAGTGCACGGCCAGCAGGATGGAGAACATGCGGCCGCCCTTTTTCCACACTTCCTTGGAGGCGGGAGTGGAGGGGGCCTGGTGGCTGAAAGATGCTATCTGGCTCAAAGCCAGGCTGGCTTTGTCGTCCTTGTGTCCGCAGCCCATGCTGGAGTTGGGGTGTCCGATCTCGCTGTCCTTCCGCCTGGGCTCTTCGGTCATGGTTCAGCCAGCGCTCTGTCTGAGGGTCAATGCTGTTGGCAGGAGAGTCCCATGAATGAGAAGTGACAGCTTATTTGTAACAGTCCAGGGCTGGACCAAAGCAGGACATGTGATGAGGAGGAGAGAACGTATCAGAGGAACAGGGAAAGCTGAGACAGGGCCCGCAAGACAAGGGATGAGCTCATTCTCAACCCTTCCTTTCCTGGTTCCCTGAAGGCTGCTCTTGCTTAAGATGCTTTTGCTCGGGGAGATCACAGGTCTGTTTAGCAAAGCGTTTCTAATTGATGACATATCACATTTACATGTTTATTGATGCAAGATATTGGAAAAGCAACAAAAAGCGCTCACAGGATCAGAATACCCTGGGGCAAACAGCCAGTGTGGTTTTGATTTCCAAATGCCAAATACTAGACATTCCGAGAAGCTGTTAAACTTCCTGGCTGATGAACAGGACAAGAAAAAGGTAAGAAACCCCCGGGAATCTTTGGACCATCACATCATAATTTTTACCAGTTCCTGCAGGAAGGGTGTGAGCTATCTCTGCTGTCACACCCTCTAAAGCCCCTTGCCCTTGCTAAGTTTGGAAGTTCATTGATTCTCAATGAAAAGCCTGAAACAAAGACATTTCACCAACCTGTTTTGCTGCCTGGGATCCAAATCTCTGCTCTTGCCAGGCTGAGGAGTTTCCCTGTAGCTGCAGCTTGGTCACTCAAAGAATTTATACCCTTGGGTTGGGATATGTCTGTGCTTTATACCATGTCTGGAGCTGACAGCAGGGCTTCATGGGCTTCTCAGAGAAACTCATGTGATCCATTTTGTGCAATAGCTGATTTTGGGGAAGCTGGACAAAGATGAGGAGATAAGGGTTATTTACCCAATGAGAGCATGAGCTGACAACACTGCTAAGCATGGTACGGACCGCTCGGTCGCAAGGTCACGGTCACCAGAGAGCAAAGCCACCCCATCAAACCCATCTCCCCACATCCATCAGATCTCTTCCCTTGAGAGAAGATGGTTTAGATGACGAACTTATCTTCGCTGATGATTTGGTGCTTGGCTTTCTGCTTAACTGAGCAAAATAAACATTGTGCCTCGCCCTGTCTTATTCAAATCAGTCTGCTCTAGGCCTGGAACGTTTTTGAGGAAAAGGAAGAAATTTGCATTTGTGTCTGTTCAGTGCCAAGGGTAATGTAATCCTTTCTCACCCATGATGGCAAAAATGAGGAAGGCTGAGCTCTAGAAAAGGGCAGGATTTGGGGATCACAATTCATGTTCGACTTTGCTGACGCACTGACTTTGATTTTTCAGGGTGGGACCACCTTTCTCTGGCCCTTTCTCAGGCGCTTAACTCCTTCCAAGGAGGAAGTCATGTTATAAACCACAGTGCAGATCAGATTCAAGCTTTTGCCAGGTGAGGTGACAGCTGCTCAAGGTCTCTTTCATGCCAGCTTGTGTTTCATGGAGGAGATGGGGGGGGGCCCAGGGCAGTTCTGAGTGGATGGGGATGAGTTTTAATCCCTGGAGATGCCTCTTTTGGAGATGTCCCTGCCACTTTCCCCCCTAGGGCCCAGCACAGAGCCCATTTGCTGTGTGTTTTCTCAGTCCTGCTCACCTTGCTGCCTGCTCACCACAGCGCTCCTTTCAGCACTTCAGGGACAGCACCAAACTGAGCCGTGCAGGCTGTGAAGGAGAGCTCAGGATCCACACACAGCCCAGGGAGATCTCCATGAGTCCCTCCCGTGCTGCCACCAGCACTGGGTCTGCCCTGCCTGGCCTCTGCTGATCCTTAGGGCTTCCTTTTGGGATGAGTGGTTGAACTTTTCTCAGTCTGCAGCCTTTCCCAGGGGAATCCAGGCCTCCCTGAAGTAAAACTGAGTGGATAATCATGTTTTGCAGAAGGCAGAGGTTCAGAGACCCCTCGGGCTAAATGCACTGGTTTATCCTCCCTCTTTTGTCCTTAACAACCAGTAACAGAGGAAAGAGTGTTTACTGCCTTGGGCAATGCTCCCAGTACCCCAGCAGTGACCTTAGAACACTCGTTTCACGACAACAGCATAACTAACTTCATTAGTAATAATACAAGAATCATTAAATAACCCTGGTAATGAATTGCAGATGTTACTGTGCTGCTTTTTCACCTGGAAGGATCCCGGTGACAAATTCCTCCGTGGCTACTACATCCATCAGGACTCACCTGGGGAGGCTGAGCTGGCACAAACAAACCTGCTGAGGTGAGCAAACCCTGCCTGGGGAGCAGCAGACCCTGCCTGGGACACTTACAGGTGTCCCCAGGCAGCCAGGACAGTCACTCTGTGTCTGTCACCCAGGGGTTAATCACTGCAGCTTGTGTGGGTGCACCTGGCACAGCTTTAGGGCCACCCTCCTGTCCTGGGGCATTTTTTTCCAGCCCTGCAGATCTCCCATTCCCAGAGCCAGGACATGACAGGCAAAATGAAAAAGAGAGGGGCAGGAAATTCCTCCCTCACGACAGCGTATCCCAGGGGATACCATTCACCGATTCACCCTTGGGTGCAATGTGCTGGGACAACTGTGTGCTTTGGTCATTATCCAGGCTTGGCTCCATCTTTCCAGACAGCAGAGGGTGCCCTGGGCCCAACAATACTGCGCTGGAGGCATTGCCTGGGGTTATCCAGCTCTCCGAGAGTCTCACCTAGCCAGGAATTCTGTGTCAGCATAAAAGACAGCAGAGGCCACACTGCACCCCCATGAACATTGTAGTGAAGCACTGAGTTCCAGACAGGAGTGGGCTTGGTGTTGTTTTAGTCTCCAGAGAGGAAAACAGGGTGAGGAAGGGGATTTTTCCAGCCTATGCAAGTTCCTTTGGTTTATCAAGGATTCCTGTTGTGCTGTTTGTTGTGCAATTCCCTGGAAAGCAGGATTCTGTGTGGTGTAGGCAGGGTAGAAGGGGGATAGGGATGGTGACTGGGTCTGCTGTTGTCTTCCTAGTGGCAGTAGGGATATATATATATATGGATAGATAGATAGATAGATAGATAGATAGATAGATAGATAGATAGATAGATGGATAGATAGATAGATAGATAGATAGAGACCCACTCCTGCTCCTGTGGCTGCTGCTGCCCCTCCCTTGAGATGGGTTAGTTATGGAGAGGGGCATGGAAGGGTATCAGGCAGGATAAAACCTGTGAGCCTTTCTGGCAGCCTGCTCTGCTCTGGGGACGTGCAGACCTAGCAAGTTGTCACTGCGTGACCCTGTGCCCAAGTTCTGGGCTGAGCCCGACGCAGCGATGCCGCCTAATTGGAGCTTTTAATGCGCCGTGGAGCTGGTGTGTGTTACAAAGAGCCGTCGGGGCTGGAGGATGCTTAGGACCCAGGGGAAGCGCTGTAGAGCCTGGCTGGCTGAGCTTGGAACAGCTCCTGCCTCCCCGGCCGGGACTTCTCAGGTGTCCTGGTACTGCGGAGCTGTGCGAGGCGAGCGGGGCCCTCCTGGCAGCTCCCCCTGCCCCACATCCATGCCCGTCCTCTGAACCCCCTGGGCACCCATGTGCTCGCCCGGGGACTGCTCCTCACCATGAATGACCAGTACCACCGGGCCGCCCGGGACGGCTACCTGGACCTGCTGAAGGAAGCCACCAAGAAGGACCTGAACTCGCCGGACGAGGATGGCATGACCCCGACCCTATGGGCTGCCTACCACGGCAACCTGGACGCCCTGCGCCTCATTGTCAGCAGAGGGTGAGTGTGGGCGAGTGCACGGTGCTGGTCTGGGGGGTGGAGTAGCTGGGACCCCCATCTTTCCCCCTTCCCTGCTCGCAGGTCAGTGTGCCCCAAAAAATGATGGATCCTGTCTGTAAAACCCCTGCTCCCATCCTCCCTGCTGTTATTTTTCTATGCTTGTGGTGCTTTGAGTCTAATCCAGAGCTCCTGATAACTGCTTTCTGTCTCCCCAGCTCCTCTGACCCTATAACCACTCCTGCCCTCAGCCCTGTTTCAGCTCCCCGGGTGGGGAGGGGTTCCCCCTACAAGTGCCTCATGGTCCTTTACAGGTCCTGTAAAGACAAGCACCCTGGAGCACTGCCATGAAAAAAACCCTTTCAAATGGGGGGGCAGAGAGAATAACTGCTCCTTCTGTCCCAAGAATGCTCACAGGGAGATGTGTGCAGTGCCAGCTGGCAGAGGGTGACTCTTGTCTGTTTTACCCAAAGCAAGGTCTCAGTATGGGACCCCTGGGCAGCCTGTTGTGCACCTGGAGCCCAGAAAATTCAGGAGCAGGTTTTCCAAGAGCAGATTTCTTTAAGCCCAGTTTTCCCCATAGGGGCTGCTCAAGGCAGGTGTGTCTCTCTGTACCTCACCCTCAGCTGCTAAATCTTAGGGTTTCTGGCTCTGTAAGAGTGGACGTGGTAGAGAGGAGGGAGTGGGACTGAGGAAATCTGTCAGACTGGTGGGATTTACACTTTGGTGTTAGGGGAACTACCCTTGAGCAGTGCATGGCCCTCCTGTTCTTACCAAACCCCAAGGTCAGCGCTTCCTTCCACTCTGGTAGCATTTCTGAGCACCTCATCTAAACACATCCAAGGTGGGGTGGCCTCTGCCTTGTGCTGAGAGATCAGTGGCAGTGCTGATTTTGATTCATGTCTCTGTGATGCTGAGGAATGGTGCTGAGGGAGGTCAGCAGCCTGGATGTCCATTGTGCCTCCTTGGAAGGGCTTTGCTTCTCCATGTTGGGACAGGGTTTGATGGGGCTGTCAGCTCTCATGCAGGGACTTTCTGTGTCCAGCCTGGGCTGTGTTAGCAGCTCTTGCATCTGATCACCCTGTGCCTGTTCCTGGGCTTCTGGCATCTCCTGAAACTCTGGTTTTCTTGTCCAAAACCTTCAGCCAGCTCCCCAGCTGCGCTTAAAGGCAGAACTCCTCCACCCTTTGCTGTCCTTCAATTATAAAGCATTTCCTTTCAGATCCTGGGGTAAGAAAGGCTGTGTATAGAGTTGTTTTGAGAAGTCCTTGAGCACCTGATGCAATAGGAGTGTGGTCAGGAAAAGATTATTTCAGAGTCCAGAGGGGACAGAGCAAAACTTCGCTCCGAGTGGAGCATCCTGAGATGGTCCCGGGCTGAGAGCCCTGTGATGCTTCCCTGGGTAGGGGCTGTGGGGCTCACTGTGCTTCTTCCAGGAGAGGTTGTGCCCAGCAGAAACTTTCCTTGAGATCCTGGCTGGGAGAGGAGTTGCCATCCAGGGACAGAGAGACAAGGGCAGGAGAGCTCTGGGCATGAGATCCTGAAGTAGAAATGGTTCCAAAGACTCTTTGATGGCCAAAATGTTGATCTAAAAGGCCCATGCTGTGAATGAACACTCCTCCAGAAAGGCAAAGCCGTTCAGACTGACTTTATAATCTCTTTATATCGCTGTATCTCCTTATATTGCTCACCTACATCACAGGGCACCCTGCAGCACCACTACCTGCCTTGTCAATCCCCATCCAAGCCAGCAGTTTCTGCCTCCCCACAAAGCCCAAGGGCTGCTTTATAAATTCACATTGGATTAAAAGGTCCTTGTGGGCTCAGTCGTGTCTGAGTGCAGCTTGGCTGCTGTTTAATTAACAGCCTAATATACATTTGTTCCTGACAAGGAAAATAGCCTGGCAAAAGCCCAGTGCCCTTTACATGATGGATAGTGGAGCAAAGTGTGCAGCTGTGGGACTGCAGGATGTGTTTGTATCCGTGCATTCATCTCCATGTGTCAGATCCTTGCCCAGGGCCACAAAGAGACCAGCGAAGTGCTCGGTGTGGAGGCAGGCACGTCCCTGCTCCCTGGAGCAGGAGAGGCAGGAAAGCCCCAGCCTGGGGACAGGGGTGCCAGAGAGGTGAAATTGTGCAGGACCCAGGAGAGCCTGAGGGCAGAACCCTGTCATGCTGTAACTTTCTGCCCTCAGTGCTTAGGAGGATGTGCCACGGTGTTTGAGTCTTGTTCAGAGATTAAACTTAATGCTGTGTTGTATATGTTACTATCACCCCTGCACTATCACAGCTGGGAGGCAAGAGGGAGGATCCCTCAGTATCCCAAAATGTCAGGGAATTTCTCCCTGGCCTCTGCTGCCAAAATATTCCTCCTTTGGTACAGAGAACCCTGCACTGTGAGACAGGGAAGTGTGGGACCATGGTGTGGAGTGGAGGCTCTGGAGCTGGGCTGGCTCCATGCAGGGGTACTTCATGGTCTGAGGGGGCTGGTGAACCTCCAGCTGGATTCCAGGAGGATGTAAAAGCACAGAAGAGTTATGGGAGAGTCCCGAGGCATCCAGAAACACCAAAATCTCCTTGCCAGAAGTGGGTAATGGTACCTGTGCCCAGACAAGCCTGGGAGATTGAGTGCTGGGGCCAGGCTGTTAAGAAATGTCCTAGTGAGGGTGGCCAGAGGCACCCAGAGAAGCAGGGCTGTGGGAGGGGGCTGAGGGGGCCAAAATCATGGCTCTGATGGTCATGCCAGGCTGATGGACACTTGGGGTTACCTAGGCTCTGTCATCAGCAGAGGAGACTCATCCATGTGCTGTGTTCAGCAGACTGTGGTGTTGGGCTGAAATGGAGAGGGGCAAAGAAAATATAATAAATCAGTTGATAGATCCTTGAGGAGAACTTGTTGCCTCAACGCACGGGGAAAGGGTAATGAAGCAGCTTATTGCTCTGTCCATACCAGCCTGGTGATGTGTCCGTGCCCCGTGCCCCCTTTGCAAGGGGAGGGAGGGAGGCTTTGGGACAGAGGGATCAGCAGCGGCTCATCCTTCTTGTCTACCAAACAAAAAGCCTTTTTCTTCCTTCTGGCTGGGCTCCAGTGAGGAAAACAAACTCAATTAACATGATGGCTGGGAAGAGGCAGGCTAGCTGGCATTTAGCACTGCAGCTTTTCAGAGGCAGTAATTCTTCAGCGTGGTTCGTTATGACCTGCTGGGGCAGTGGCGGGCACCGGTCCAGCTCCAGTTAACAACGGGTCTGGGGGCCTCACAGGGGAACAACCAAGACTTCTTTGGATTAGACCACTGGAGAGGAGAGGATGTGTCTGCAGGTCCACACTCAGCTCTGTCACCCAGCATTCCTTTGCAGAGGTGCTCCTCAGTCTCTCTTCTCACAGAGACGGGGGTCGCGGATGCTTCAGGTGTCAGTGGCAGAGGGGATGAGTGGCTCAGCTGTGGTCTGGGGGTGACGGTGGCTCCTGACATCAGCCAGGCTGCTCCAGGGCATCACGTCACCCTGGCTGGGGCAGGATTGCAGCGGAGGTTGCAGCAAGACACGTGAAGGTGATGTGCATCCTCTGCACACCACAGGGCTGGAGCAGCGTGTGTGTGTTGGTGGGGACCTTCCCCTGGGCAATGACCTGATGGGAAGATGAAGGAGCAGGGTGGAGCATTCTTGCAGCTCCACTGCTTCCGGCACCTGAGCTGTCTGCTGGCAGTGAGGGTGAGCCCTGGGCACGGTGCTGAGCCAGCAGACGTGCCCCCGGGCACTGCCACAGCACTAACAATCACCCGTCACAGTTACTGCCAGCCTGGCTGTTCGCTGGGACAAGAGGCAGAGAGCACTGAGATGACCCTCATCTGGGCTGGATTTTTGGGGATCTGAACTTGGGGAACAGCTGAATTCGTGACTTACCACCACCTGGGCAAAACATGGGACACAGAACCCAAAGCTCTGCTCTGAGTCCAAAACTTTATCTTTTCTGCTCATTTCTATGCCTTGCTTGGGTCATTGCCCTGACTGGCTGTGCTGAAAGTAGTGAGGATTGTTCCTCAAGCCACAAATTATTACTTTTTCCCCTCTTCCTCCATATGAAAACATTTCATGGGAGCCAGAGACACGCTGCTACCATCTGGCTCCCGGTCCCACGGCCCGATTCCTCACACACACCCGTGAGCCAAGGGTGAGCCAGCCCATTGCTATTGGAGGAACTCCACACACGCAGCCAGGGAGCAACATATGTAAGTGCCACTGGATTCCCCGGCTAATTGGGATCCCATGGGAGAAGTGGAGGGGGAAAACCGGCAGGAAGGGAGTGAGCATGCATGTCATGGTGCAAACGCAGTGACTCAGGAGGTGCACACGTCCACCTAAGGGGCCCAATTAACAGTGTTTTTAATAATGATTATTACAGTTGACTCAGCACTCGAAAACGCTTTGAAGTCGAGAAGTGCTACACTTTACACCTGTTATTAAAATACGTTCCCACTTAGTGGACCCTGCAGTCAGCATCTCCCCATGTGCAGCGCCCCGGAGGTGAAGTTTTGCTCAGACAGACACCTGCCAGAGGGAGGGCCTCATGTTTATTATCTGAGCTGGATCAAACATCCCTACTTTGCAAGTCACCGTTCTTCTTTCCTTCTGATGCATTTTTAGCGCCTGCGGCAGACATTTATAGGGCAAAGGCCCTGAGATACCTAATTTTTGCTCTAATACTCTTGTTTCTAGACACTGGAAATGTCCAAGGAAAGCTAGTTTTGCTACTTTTTTCCCTCACTTACTCTCTGATGAAAGTAGACCTTCAAATATGAATCCCACAAGATCTGCCTGGATTTTCCCTCTGACCCCTGAATTGGACAGACACAAGAACAGGCTTCAAGATGTACTTTACAGTTTGAGCATCCACACACTTGGCTCAGGGAGCAAGACTATTTGCAGAGAGTCCACTCTTCAGTCACTGTCCACATCACGAGTCCAAGTACCTGTTGGGACCCTCGTGGTGCCCTGGCTCACCTGCCCACACCTCAGGCCCATTCAGAGCACACATAAACAAACCAACAGCCCTTCACGCACTCCAGTCCCACTGCCAGCACAGTAGTTCCAGTTTCACTGGCTCTTTAAATCCAGCTCCATCAATAATTTACTCCTCTCTTGCAATTCATCAAATATTTATCCTCCCCATGCATTTCCCGGCCTGGACATGTCACTACGAGGGTAGAGGCAAGGGCTGGGGAGTTACCACTCCCTGAAACTCAGCATTGCTGGAGCACTGGCAGCTCCTTCCTCTCCTTTTTTGGATTCATGGCTCCTCAACCCTGTGATCTCCTGCCCTCCTCCTCCTCACCCATCTTTGAAGCCCTTCTCTGCTTCTATGAGAGATGTCAAAGACTGGCCACAGAAATCCTGCATGGTTTGTGGGTCTTTTTGGCCCTTACACAGTTCTGAACCTATTGATCAACTTACTGAGTCTGCCAGAGGGCTCAGGGTTGTACTTATTTAGTTTCTCTCAATGTTGTGAGAACATCTGCATGGTGGAGTTACTGCTTATGCTCCCACAGGGAAAGCTGAGGGCACTTTGTAGCAGCTCTCAGGGAATACAAGCAGGAAGCTCATGCTCTGGGTCCAAATAATCTCCAGTTTGACCTCTGGACACTTCTGAACAGCCTGAGGATTGCAAACTCGGTACTACATCATCTGGGTGGCTCTGCTCTGGCTCTGCTGCTCCCTGGACAGCAGTGTCCCGGGTGGGCAGTGGGGTCCCTGCCTTCAGGGTGGGGGTGAATGTCCTGAATAAGGCTGTTCCCGGGGCTTGTGTGTTGGCACTAGTGATGAAGGAGCAAAGCAGTGGGGCAAAGAGATCCCTCTGCTCCTGTGATCTCCTGCTCTTTTTCTGGAGTAGCTTTCAGATCCTTTGAGGTGAGACAAGCCATAGCACAGAGTACATGGTATTTGGAAGAGGTTTCTGGCCTCTGCTGCTCCCAGCTCTTGTTGACACAGATTCTAAAGCAGGGAGGAGTTAAGTAACACAGGCTGAAGGTCTCAAGTGTGTGTTTCAGGAGCTGGACTTGATGATCCTTGTGGGTCACTTCCAACACTAAATATTCTATGATTTGCCTTCTGCACTCCTGGTGTCACCATGGATTGGAGCTGAGGTCTCTGTGGTCGAGAAACAATGCTCGGTTCCTCTGGAGCTCAGCAAAAGGGTGGCACAGAAATGGGCAGGAGCTCTGCTGAGCCAGAGCTCTGCCAGGGCCCTGCTACCCACAGGAGTAACTTTTGAGGGTGGTGGAGCTGCACAGCCCTAATAAAAGGCTTTGCCTTATCCATGTGCACGGAGGGAGAGTGCCTTGTTGACAGATACTGCTGCTGGCTGCATATCATTAGCACACGCTCAGGAGAAGGCTGGTGCCAGCAGGGGTGTGAACTATCTCTTGTTTCACCTGAACACAAATACAGAGGAATGTCAGGAGGACAGACTTCCCTTGAATCCCAGGTTTGTGTCCGTCCTGTCACAGCAGGCAGGAGATGTGGGCAAGCGGTTGTGTCCTGTCAGCAGCTTGCTGAGGCAGGGGCTGGCACGGTGTGAGAAGAGATGCTAATGGCAGCAGTCGAGTGCCCAGCTCTTGAGGAGTGCAGAAACCTAATCTCTACTTTCTCTGAAACTGGATTCTCAGGATGTGCTAATACCGATGTGCTCCAAGCCGTGCAACCGAGACCAAGCACAGTACAGCAAAATCCCCCACAAAACCCCCGTACCAAGGCCAACGCCAGCAAATTCACTCTTATTCTCTACTGCCCCTTGAGCCCCAGGTTTCCCCAGGCACCAAGGAACAGGAGGGTGGGAAGGGGCAGCAGGTGGTGGGTTTCAGAACCATTGCTGAGGAATCTCATGGTGGTGCTACTGCAACAGTGGGACCCCAAGGTGTCCCACCCAGGATGTGGGGTACAGAGTGTCATTTTGGGAGGCCCCTATGCAGAATGTAAATGAAGCCAAGATCTGAAGATAGAATCTGACTAGAATTTAATGGGACATTTGAAATTCGATATTTCATAACAAGCTTAAGGCCTGAGTTGGAATCAGGCCCATATTTCAGTTCTGGGCTATTCAGAAGCTGTCTTGCCTCCCTCCAAATGTTGGTTTGATGCAGGAGCATATTTTTCCTGTGACCTAAATTCAGGTCACAGGACTTGCCACAGGTTTGCATGTCAGGCACAATGATTCCATGTCAGTGGTACACCCCTCCAGAAAAGCCCTTTGAAATTAAGCTGTGGGAGTCAGAAGAGCGTAGCTTCACATTTCAGGGAGTCAACAATTCTTGGTACTGATTTGCCCCTGCACAGCTGGGAATATCTCAGCGGAGTCTGTCACCTATGCCTAAATGCTAACTGGTTTTTCTTGCTGTTTAGGGGCGATCCAGACAAATGTGACATCTGGGGGAACACCCCTCTCCACTTGGCGGCAGCCAACGGCCACCTGAACTGCCTTTCCTTCCTCATCTCCTTTGGGGCCAACATCTGGTGCCTGGACAATGACTACCACACCCCGCTGGACATGGCAGCCATGAAGGGACACATGGAGTGTGTGCGGTACCTGGACTCTATTGCTGCCAAGCAGAGCAGCCTCAACCCCAAGCTGGTGAGCAAACTGAAGGACAAGGCCTTTCGGGACGCGGAGAGGAGGATTAAGGACTGTGTGAAGCTGCAGAAGAAGCACCACGAAAGGATGGAGAAACGGTACAGAAAGGAGATGTCGGACAATTCAGACACCATGAGCTTTTCCAGCTATTCAAGCAGCACCTTAAGCAAGAAGTTCCAGCACATGTCTATGGTGACCTCCCTGCCATACTCACAAGCCACCATCCACGGCACAGCCAAGGGAAAGACGAAAATACAAAAGAAACTGGAGAAGAAGAAGCAGGTGGACGGGACATTCAAGATCTACGAGGACGGGAGGAAGAGCGTGAGGTCCCTGTCCGGTCTGCAGCTGGGCAACGACGTCATGTTTGTGAAGCAGGGCACGTACGCCAGCCCCAAGGAGTGGACTCGCCGCAATATCAGGGACATGTTCCTCACGGATGAAGACACCGTGTCCCGTGCCATAAGTGACCCGGGCTTGCACATGGACTCGGCCCACTCGGAAGTCAGCACCGACTCTGGCCACGAGTCCCTGTTCAACCGCCCCGGGCTGGGCACCATGGTGTTCCGGCGCAACTACGTCAGCAGCGGGCTTTTTGGGATCGGCCGGGAGGACGGGGGCGCGCTGGGAGAGGACAACGCGGACGGGATGGGCGTCAAACTGCGGAGCCGCCTGCAGCGCTCGCCAAGTCTCAACGACAGCATTGGCAGTGCCAACAGCCTGCAGGAGAGGAACGCGGAGGAGCTGCCCTGGGACGAGGTGGAGCTGGGCTTGGACGACGATGATGAACCAGACACCAGCCCCTTGGAGACTTTTCTGGCTTCCCTGCACATGTTTGAGTTCATCTCCATCCTGAAGAAGGAAAAGATTGACTTGGAGGCCCTCATGCTGTGTTCAGACCATGACCTGAAGAGCATCAATATCCCACTGGGCCCCAGGAAAAAGATTGTGGATGCCATCCAGAGGAGACGACAAACTCTGGAGAAGCCAGATGTCATTGTAGACACTGAACTGTAAGTAGGAGATGGGGCTTCTGAGTGGTTAAACCCTTTAGCAGGTGGAGATGTGGACAATGTAAGGCCTTGTTTTCAACCCGCTTGGAAGAGTAGGAGTCCAGGTAACCTCAGCACTTCTGTGTGTGGGCAAATTCCTGCTTGTGTGGAAAGGATGAGAGTTTGGAGAGGTGGCAATAGCGTTAGCTCATTACTCAACAGCCCTAATGTGACTGGGCAGGACGTGAAGCCCTTGTTTCATTTCATAACTGATATGAATGCAGACTGCTCTGTGGTCTGATGCTTCTCTGTCCCTGTAGCTGAGATTTTCAACCACACTCAGGCTTGTCTTGACTCTTCACCTTTTGAAGACATTAGGAAATCAACTGCTATTCCCAGTGGGAGCAGGCTGACAGCCGTGCCCGGTAGCATTGGGAATCCTTCCCCAAATGCTTGAGATCTTACTCAGACCTCTTCAGACTGCATACCTGCGTTGGAGTTGTTGCTCTTTCATGGTGTTTCCAGGGTTTGGTTGGGTTGGGTTGAAGGCCCATGTGCCTGATTAGAAGTGAAGGAAGGCATTGGTGTGGGTGTCCCTATGTCCACTGACACAGTAATTCACTGTGTTGTTTGGGCTGCCCACCCTTCAGATACCTGTGTGCTGCTTTTACAGGCTTTCAGTACAGCTCGGTCTTGGATCCTCTGGGTGCTGATAGATTTTTCTCTTTCCCTTTGCAGATAGCCTCAGCATCTTTTTTTTTTTTTTTTTTTTTTTTAAATGCTCGAGAAACAAACCCAGTTCTAAGTTGCCAGAAAACACAAGCCAGAGACTCCCTTCCTGGGGCAGCTGAAAGCTACAGCCATCCCCACCAGTCCTGCTGGACTGCTCCCTTGCTCTGCTCCCTGTCTGTGCGATGCTCCCGGGCGGTACCTGGTACGGAGGGACGACTGCTGAGATCGGACCAGGCAGCACCAACCTGCCAACCTTGAAGGGACCATGGTCTGCCGCTCACTGGAGGAAGAAGTGACCTGCACAGATGGCTGGGACACTGCTGTCACAGGCTGTGAGACCACACGAAGCCATGAATGGAAGGAGATAACACGATATTTTCAAAGGGACCCAAAATAAATAATTACAATCTACTCTTTCTTGAGCACGTGGTTGTTTTGGTGTTTGGGCTTGAGGAACAGAGGGATGGGTAGTTCTGTTCTCTCTCCAGGTTCTCATTTGGTGAGAAGCATCACCTTGTTTGGTGCTGTGTTTTTGCGAGGGGGTTCTCATTACCGTGGTGTGGGGCTGTTCAGCTTGAGACATACCAAGCCCCACTTCAGCCAGCAGGTGCTCAGCACCTCTGTGATTCTGCTCTGTGCTGTTGTGAGGGCAACAATCCGAAATTAAATGGTGGTTTGAACATGCTGGTAGTTGCTGTCCAGTGGTCAAACGGTTGTTTCACAGATGCAACATTTCTCAAGGGCACCGAGCTGCATCAGCAGTTTTTGTGTGAAAGACCTTGACTTCTGCCTCAAGGACCTTCCCAGGACAAAGCATAACACTGGGCTGCAGCCCAGAGCCTCTTCCAAGCATCCCTGATGCATCAATGCTCAAACCACTGCTCTGAACCACAGTGTTAGATGTTCCCACACACCCATCATGCTCTCGCTGACCATCCCACGCTCTGAGCCCTCAACTCCCAGCTCCACTGCACCATCTTCCAGATGTGATATATGGATGGCTCCTGGGTGGCACGAGTGCTTCTGGGGTGCAGCAGTGGGATGGGGACCTGGTCATGTCCCCATAGCCCCTTGCCACAGGTTGCTGGCAGTGTGCCTCTTCAGGTTGTGATGCAAGCTGCCAGATCAGAGAAATGCTGCAAGTCGTTACTGGTGCTGCTCATCAGCCTTATGTCAGGGATGCAAATGATAAGGAATGATCCCTTTACACTGGTCCTGGGACAGGCTGGGATCTGGACCATGCTTGTCCCTTTGGACACGTGGAGGCTGTGGTTTATCTGCTTGGAGGATGGGGATTTGTTTGGTGTGAAGCTGTGCTGCTCCCTGCCTGTGCTTGCCCTGGGTGTGTGGGTGTAGGGGAGGAAAATTACTCTTTGCAAGTTAGAAATACTCTTTGCAAGGTGTTTCTCTGCCCTACTGCCCCCTAAGTGGCTGAAGCCCCACCAGGAGAGGTGTAGGGTCCCAACCTTGTTCCACTGCATACAGAGGTGCTCGGGCATCAGCGAGGCACCATCACTGCACTCAGGGTCTGAGATCTTTCTGCACAGATGCAAACTGCTTCGCTTTTTAAGTAATTTTAGAGCTAACAGTGCATTTGCATTTTAAATTACAAGTTCTGCATAACTCTTGGCTCGATTTCCAGGCAAAAGGGGGAGCGCTCAGACGTGCTGAGTCTGCGAGTTTTCCATGAGGGCTGCGCAGCGCTGCGGCCCCGGCACTGTTTTCTTTGGTCCCTCTCCAAAGCTCAGGGCTGCTGTCCTGCAGGGAGAGCTGTGGCTTGGCTGATGTCACAGCTCCCTCTGCCGGGACCAGGTCTGGGAGAGCAGGATAGGACCCACAGCCCACCGGGAGACAAAGACTGCCACCAAGTCCTGCTGCGAGCAGGGCCTGGACTATGAGGGCCAATTTTCAGGTGAGGTTACGATTGCTTCATTCGCCCTCATCCTCATGCACACGTGTGACTACACCCAAACCCTCTGTCCCTGCTCTGATGACTGGCAGCACCAGCTGCCCACCATGAACCAGTTCCCAGCCTCAGTTTCCCCGGGTCTGAATGGTGCCTTTGGGTCTGTGTTGGACACAGGTGGGGAACAATGTGCTGTGGCTCACACTGCTGTCACTCCAGTGCAATGGGGACCAGTTTATCCCAGCAGATGACAGAGGCAAGTGGATCTATTGGCTTGGCATCCACCAGAGCCTTTTGTGGGTCAGGCACTGGGCAGTGGTGGGTATTTGGGGGCTGCCAGGCTGCTGGGGTTTGCACGCTCCCTAACTGTGCTTTTTTGCTTAGGAGCACCCAAGCAGTTGCTGATGCTGACAGAGATCCTTTCTTTCAACTTGTCTTTCCTTCAAAGAGCCAGTGAAAAGGTGTGCTGCCATGACAATACCCAAATGACACAGGACATTTCCCTGCACAGGTAAGAAAGACCAAGCCCAAAAATGCCACTTAGGATCACCAAGTCCTAAGACCAACATGGTCACCTCCATGACACAGGGCGGGACCAGAGTTGAGCCGTGGCACCAGTGCAGTGTGGCAGAGCCCAAGAGATGGGCTCAGGCCTAAGGCTGCCCCAGGTGAGGTGAGGAAGATGTCTGTGGGCATGGGGAGGGCTGCCAGAGGCACCAGCAGCTCCAGAGCAAATACCTGCACTTGGAGCTCATGCATATTCCTTGGTTTTAGGTTTGATCCTAATGGTTTCCAACACGGTTGTTTCCCACAAAGTGTGGGGCCGCAGCCCCTTGCAGGACACAGCATTCAAAGCCCTGGCCAAAGAGATGTCTCCTGCTTTCCAGCTTCCCCTGCCCAGCTGGGTTGCTGGACTGGGCTCATGTCGGAGCCGGGCTCCTCTTGCCCTGGGCATGAGGAGGGGACATGTCTGTCCCCAGGTTCTTGGCACAGCTGGCCCTGTCCCTGCACTGTCCATTGACAGCCCAAGTTTCCCCAGGAAACTTCACGGTGCTCATTACACTCCACAACCGAGAACAACAAGCTCCTTTCGGAGAGGGTGCTTGTGAAAGCAGGGTGGAGGCCAGGGCTGGCACACCCTGGAGAACACCCTTAAATACCCTCCCAAACAGAAACCCAGCCAGGCCACAGGTTTCCCCGACCCGCTGCTGCCAGCAAGCAAACACCATCCCTCGTCCCTGCCCATGACACCGGAGCAGTCAGACACGGGGCAGGTCCTGTGGGCACTGTGGCAGTGGACGGCAGCATGTCCCCGTCAGGGAACGAGTGATCCTTGGGATGGTCATCCCTTAACACCCCAAGCCACAAATACCAAACTGTCCTGTGCCTCTGTTAAATGGGGTTCCTCAGCAAAATCAGTCCCCTGGTTTAGCTTGCACATGTTCCCAGTGGTGCAGGAGGTGCTGTGTGGGGAGCAGAATGAGGCCAAGGGTCTGTGCCAACAGTCCAGCCACTGCATGGGCACCCCATCCTTGGCCAGACATCCCCAGCTCCTCAACTCTGAGCATCACTCAAAGCGATGCTGATGCACAGGCCCTGCCCTTTATTTCCCGGCAGCTGCTGCAAGGATGGAGGCATTGGCACTCATTAGCACTCAGCTGCTTTTTTCTCCCCATCCTTAGGGGCTGGCTGGACCCCCAGACCACAGGCTGGAGGAGGTAGAAGGCACGGGATGTCTTGGGGATGACCAAGGTTGTATGGTGGTTCTGCTGGAGACACAGGTTTGCAGACACCAAGTGAGCACTGCAGCATTCCTGCTTGGCTGCTGGGTACCACAGCTGGCCCATGGGGACATGGCTGCTTCCCCAGGCTGATGGTGGCATGGTGATTACTGGCTGCTCCCCTGGCATGGCACGTATGCTCTGCCATGTCATGTGGGACTGACATGGGAACCGAGAAAGGAACACAGGACACCAGGTAGGTCCCACGGGACACCAGGTAGGTCCTACAGGCAGAAGGGACCAGAGGGAGGAATGCCCCTTGGGCTGGAGCACTTAGTCCTCAGCCCTGCCTGATGCTCCTCTTTCCCAGCCTCACCTGGAGCCGGTGACAGCCACAGTGCCCACACTGGAGGGTGACACTGGGGTCCGGGACCTGCCAGGCCAGTGCGGGCCATTGCACCCCACTTGCTTTACAATTTCCTGCCCATCCCATCAGGGATTCATTTCCTGGCCCAACAGCTGAGTAACACGTGGCTGTAGGAAAGTGGAGGGCCAGGATGACGGTGAGGGGAAAGGGGGTCCATGTGTGGCACCCCCGGCATGCCCTGGCTTTGCTGTGCCTTGCACAGGGTCCCCCAGCAGCCCAGTGCAGGGCTGGATGTAGCA